GAGGAGGAGGGGGAGGGGGAGGAAGAGGAAAGAAATGGAGGAAAGGAAGAAAAGGAATTTTTAAAAAGTAATTTCCTCCTTTGAGAAAGCCTTGCTTCAGCAGAAGTGACAATCACATATAGAATAGCTGATGAATCACAGCCTCAATTTTATGTTTCCTTACACACTATAATTTGCCTCAAGATGTGGACATAAATAAATAAAATCTATTTACATATTTTTATAATTATTTGATTACCTTTATATCCTTCATTAGGCTATAAGCTTAAGGAGGGTAGGACCATGTCTATTTTTCTCATCACAGTATCCTCAGTACTTAGCACAGTGCCTAGCTCAATGCAGAGAGTGATTAAAAATTGTTTCAATAATGACAAACATCATTTTATTTGTATTATATATTTGTCAAGTCTACCTGCTGCACTAGACGAACTATGTAAAGACAGAAATCTAATTTGTGCAAAATTATGTCCCCGATTCCTAGTGCAGTGCCTGGCCTATGGAAGCTGCCAGGAACTTTTATTGCATGATTACATCAGTTCCTCTCCATGTATCTCCTAGCTCAGCAAACGGCATCATAGTTTAAATACTCATTAAGCTTAAAACTTGAAGTCACTCTAGGCTAGTTTATTTCAATCTATGTGTTTAATTACAAAAACACATATATTCTAAATCATAAAAATGAACTTCCACTTACTTGGTTCATACCCCCATCATCTTTCAAATTAATTATTACAATAGCCACCTCTCTGGTCTTGTCCCACTCTAATCTCCCCATTCCTCATCCATCTGGGAAATTGTTCCAACCTGAATATCCAATATGGATGCCCCACGTTCAAAATCTTACACTGGGGGGCCGACCAAGTGGCTCAGTTGGTTAAGAGCTTGCTCAAAAGTGTGAGCTCTGAGCAACAGAGTCACTGATTCGATTCCCACATGGGCCAGTGAGCTGTGCCTGAGCTGAGCTGCCGCTGAGCAGCCAACAGGTGGCAGGATGGCTCAGGTGATGAGAGCACGTGCTCCTAACAAGATTGCCTGCTCAATGGTGGGCTATGCCCACCCGCAACTAAGACTGAACTCAGCACCTTGAGCTGAGCAGTGCGACTGGACTTAGAGCTGAGCTTGCTGCACCCTCCACAACTAAGATTAAAGGAAAACAACTTAGTTGTTCTCCTTCCCCAATTCCCCAACACTGTTCCCCTCCCCCAATTCCCCAATAAAATCTTAAAAAGTAATAATAAAAATGAAAAAAATAAAATAAAATAAAATCCTACATTGGCACATTAATATATTTGGCATCATATTGTAATGTGTAAGTAATTTTCAATGACAGAACAAAGTGATCACACTATAGCATGTATATAAAACTCCAGATGCAGGACACAGTTCCAATAAGACCCTAAAACTGCTAAATAAAAAAATAATATGTGTGTGTACAGGGACATGTACAAGAAGATCTAGGAGGAAAAGGAGGAGGAATGGTTATGAACCAAACGGTTAGTGTAACTATCCCTAGGTGATATAATTACAGATCATTTTCATTTTCTATTGTATAATATAACACATGTTTTACAGTAAGCAAACATTCCCATTTTAATTTTGAAAAAGGAAATAAAAGATTGCTTAAAAGTCTCTTACTTCCTGTCATCTAAGACAGTTTAAATCCCACAGCATGACTACATTTATTAGCAAAGAATTATTAATAGAAACTTAATAGAGCCAGTGGCCAGGTTTAGACGGACAGATTTACCATCAGTATGTGTTCTATATTTTATATTCCTTTATGAAAAATGCACTAATTCAAGTATTTGAATAAAATGCATCACTATTTCATGATGTTCTGCATAGAACATGATGTTTATAAAGGAGGTCAAGACTCATAATTTCTTTGCCTTCTGAACAAGTTTGAAACAACTGTTGTAGAACTGTGGTCTGTGGGCTATTTCTGAAATCAGGTACTTTCCTACCTCCGTGTCTTTGGAATCACCCTGGATATAAAATTTACACTACTTGGATTATCTTCCAAAGTGGGTGGTCAAGAAAACAAACATTTAATTTATGAAAGAAAAAAGAAAACTAAATTATACTTACTCATAGAGCTTTGGCTCTTCAAGCACTCCAACCTGGTTTAATAATTTCAATGCAATATAGCCATCCTTCAGAGTGCTATCCAAAATTATACTGAAAACAAAATAATAGGCTACAAAAGAAAAATACAGAATGCAATTCACATTTAAAAAATTTGTTTTGGTACATATGCAGATATGCATGTATGTATATAGTATGTAATCTAGGCACATATTATATATGTAAATAATATTGAGAGGCACTTATTTGATACATAGGTAATGCATTTTACTTCTTGTCAATTTTTAACTAGTGTTGAAAATGAGGAATGACAAAACCTGCCAGACAGCCATGGGTACAGTGAAGAGTTGGACAAATCATTAGTGAATACTCACTGTTCTGTAAACCAAAAAAATTCAGAATTTAAGTCAATTAAACAACTTTTTAAACAGCACATCTAAGGTAAATATGATAAGATTCCTTAATTACCTGATTAATAGTCCTAGCTAAACTTGCTTAACAAGTATAATTCCCAATTTCACTGGCTGTTTAGGAATGACTATGAAATTAAATAATCCTTGATAGAGTGATCTCATAGTAGTTTTTATTCAAAACACCTCTACTAAAAATTGATAGTCTACCTTTCAGAGGCAAGCATGCTGAACTCACCCCTATACTCAATACTGTCTGGGCCATACTGAAAGTTCTGACTCTCTGTGAGTATTCCCAAGTACTGGGCACCAGCTCCTAGAAAACAATTTATATAAACATACCATGGAATGCTTGAAATTTTCTTGTAAGAAATACACTACATGTTCTAAAAGTATGCATATTAGCTGTTAAATGTTGCTACTAAACAGTCACTGTAACTTTTTGCCTAACACTTAGGACTACCTCAAATAAAGTAATGAATGTATGATTGAACTTCACCAATTTCTAACACAAGAGATATAAAGAAATACTTATTTTGAAGTGATTGCCCAGCTTTAGGCAAAATAATTCGGTCCATCTCACCCAAAAGAGGTGAGCGTTCAGACTTGCTCAAATGGTTTCTGGCAGCACGACATATTGAGATGTTGCAGAATAAGCCCTTCTCCTGTGACAAGCACACAGAAATTCTGGGTGTACAAACCCGTACATTAAATACACAACCAAGCTCAGGTGAAGAAGGGCAATGTCAGGAGGCAGAATAAAGGGAAAGTAAAGGGAAGTATAGGCTATAAGGACTGAAGCCCTGGATGCGCGTGAGATTTGAGAATTGGGTGTAGCATGGAAACAGAGGCGTAAATGTCAACTTCCACGCTGGAACACAAGATATGATGCTAAGTGATAGAGCTGAAATGAAAATCCCTGCACAGTATCAGGGTCTTTAATTATCTGCTCTGCCATTGAAAGAGGAGCTTAGAAAATTCCTCCTATTGGTTGTGTGTGGGTCTTAGGTGGGAGATAAAAAGTATTCTCTGAGACTAAAACTCCATGTAACATGGAATTTAAATTCACACTTGTCACTTGGTAAAGGGTCCTCTCCCCCAATTTACATTAAAAATGCTCCTGGATTATGGTACATACATTCTAAAAATATATATATCTCACTTGCTCTGATGGGAGAATTTTGAAGAAGAGCTGACTGCCATTAATTTTCTATATTAAAAGAAGATATAAATATTTATTTTGAAATAGCACAAATAATTTTTCTTCAATTTTTAATAGAGACTTGGACTGACAATTGAGACTAGAAAATGACAATAAACCATAGATAGATAGATATTGGGTTGTCGGAAAAGTCATGACGCATTTTGCAACGAAAAACAGAAAAAATATGTGATGACTTTTCTGACATCCCAATAGATTCAACCAGAAGAAAACTACAGATTATCTGTAGGGAACAATTATATTGGCAATAAATGAAAATAATAATAATAAATTTATCTGAAAACAAGAGAATTCATATCTTCAAAGGGCTGAATGAAAATAAATCTCAATGTAGAATTCTACACCGAACTAATTTTATTTTCCAGAGTATGGGGAAGATAAGGTTATTTTCAGGAAAACAAAAAAACTGAGAGGGACTACTAGTGAAAAATCACTAAGGATATGCTTCAACAAGATAGAAGTTAGACCCAGAAGGAAGAAGTGGAGGAAGACAGGGCAAGATAAAAACACAGAAAACTGAAATTGGTAAATATAAGTGAACATTTGATGTAATGATAATATTCTTAATAAATACTGATTATTAGATAAAAAGTGAAATAAAATATTGCAGAATGCAACACTGAAGATAGAAAAAAAAGACAAGATTCAAAGGCTTTATGAGGCAAAATCTTTTAACAGAATCCAATAAAATAGTCTGTGAGGCAAGATGAATTTTTATGTGTAAAGCAAGAAAGAAGTAAGTCACCAGGACTATATCACAATCATGAACTTAATACATCTAAAAAAAATCACAACCTCAGAATACATAAAGCCAAAACCTGAACCATGTGACTTCCTTCTAAAATAAGAGCTTTATCTACAACTCAAATTCTAACATATTAGACAAAATGTCCAGGATGTCACTGAAAATTACCCATTATACTAAGAACAAAGAAAATCATAACTTTGATGAAGAAAGAAAATCAACTATTGTTAACACTGAGATAAATCAGATGTCAGAATTATCTGACAAGGACTGTAAAGGAGCCATCACAAAAATACTTCAAAGTCTGTTACAGTCTCTTAAAAAATAGATAAATATCAGAAAAGAAATACAACCTATAAAAGAAAACAAAGTGGAAATTACATAAATGAAAAATATAATAACAGATACAAAACTCATTGGATATGCTCAATAATAGAGAGGAGATGATAAGAGGATAGAAATCAAATAAACTGTAGGACCAACCAACCTGTCCCTCACTGTACAACAGAGAAAAAATAGACTGAGAAAAAAAATAAGCAAAGACTCAGGGACCTGTGGCGCTATAACAAAAGGTGTAATATCTGTGTTATCAGAGTGTCAGAAGGAGAGAAAAAATGTGGGGCTGAAAGAATATTCAAAAAATTTAATCTTAGGGATCATCAAAGAGTTCTTAGACACCAAAAGTATGTTCCATTAAAGTAAAAAATGATAAATTAAACCTCATCAAGAGTGAATACTTTTCTCCTTACAGAAGTCCTGTGAAGAAGATGAAAAAACAGTCAAGTTACAGGATGGAGAAAATATTTGCAAGCCAAATATCCAACAAGAACTACTATCAAAAATATATAAAGAACCAGCAAAACTCAACAGTTTACAAAAGTCCAATTGTAAAATGGGTAAAAGACACGAACACACATTTCATCAAAGAGAATATATGGAAAATATATTCAATATCATAAGCTGTCATGGCAACGAAAATTAAATATTTCAATAAGGTATTACCATGTATTTATCAAAATGCATAAAAAATTTTAAATAATGACAACACCAAATGCTAGTAAGAAATCAGAGAAATTGGATTGCTCATACTTTGCTGAGAGGAATATAAAGTGGTATTGCCACACTGCAGTCAATTTCTTACAAAGCTAAATGTTCAATTAGCTTCTGACCCAGCAATTGCTTTCCTGGGCCTTTACAACAGATGAATGAAAACTTAAGTTCACACAAAAACTTGTACACAAATATTCACAGCAGCTATATTCAAAATAGCCCAAAACTAAAAATATCCTAATGTTCTGCAACAGATGAATGATTAAGCAAACTATAGTACATATATACCATGCAGTACTACTCAGTAATAAAAAAGAATAAATTATTGATACGTGCTACAATATGGATGAACCTCCAGAGTATTATACTGGAAAAAAAGTCCAATATAAAGGTCACATACTAAATTTTCAATTTATGCAACAGTTTCAAAATAAAATTTTAGAAATATATTAATGGATGCCAAGGGTGAGAAACAGCAGAATGGGAGGAGGGTGGTATATGTGTTTATAAAAGTGCCACTCATGGGATCCTTGTGGTGATGAAACTGTTCAGTATCTTCACTGTGTTGATAGATACATAGCCCTGTTTAAATTGTAAAGATCTACACACACACACACACACACACACACACACACA